ACCAACGAATTGATTTTCTGGATCCGTCAGAGGGAGGGCTGGGGATGACGACCCGCGGGATCCGGCGCGAGATGCTCCATGGCGACCAGGGCGAGGAGGCAAGGCGTCACAGCGTCAATCTGACGAGGGCAAAAGGACGAGGCGGCAGCTTCAACGGCGACTGGTTGACGCGGCATGGTTAGGGTTACGGAGGGAGCGCATAAATGAGGGGAGTAGGGAAGGCGCAAGCTGTGCGGAAGGGAGAGGGGAGGTGGAGGCGATCGTGAGCGTTGGATTTTACAGAGATGATCTGAACCGTTGAGTGATGAATATAAGAGTGTTTGAGTGAAAGATGAGTAAAACAAGTTGGTGAATTATTATTAAAAATATGGTAGATAGATGTGAAATTTTTTGTATTTGCTTTTTTTTTTGCAAAATATAATTATCTGTTATATGTTATATATAATATTTTTCTGTGTTGTTATTTTTAATGTAACATATTTCGTATCCTATACAAAATATTTTTTTGCTACTATCTTTTGCATAAGCAATTTCTCACTCATATACCACACAAAAATAACTTTTCTTTACAAAAATAAAAACACAAACAAAACTTGAAACTTAAATAGAAATTCCCATTCTGTGTAAAGAGGCTACATAAAAAAATCATATATTTTTTAAAATTTATAATGGAATAAATCAATTGTTAAGGTATTTTGGGTTTTTTTAAAAAAATTCCTAGCCCAATAACATATTATAAAACAATTAATAGCTCTTTCCGATATATATTATAAAAAGGGACAATGTCAATAGCATCATTTAACTGGGATATACTTAATGGGTACAAATTAATTCTGAAATGCATGACATCAACATAGTCAAATTAGTTGCCTCAAATTTTTAGCCCGTATTTGATCTGTTTATCCAAAAACTATAATCAATCAAAATACATATATTAACCTTGCCATTTTCATTCTTCTTCATTTTTTCTTCCCGTATTTTCTATTTGTTTTGTGATTTCTCATTGGGACAGGACGACTTTAATTCCATCTCCCTTTTTCTTAGGTAGAATTGTTTTTCTCTAGTTTGTGTTGGAGAATTTATCCATTTCAGCTCATTCCAGTCGGTTATAGAAGGCGCTGCGTTGCACACCTTTTTTTTTTGGTCTTTTTCTCGTTTAAGTTGGAATAGTTTAATGAAAAAGGCTAGATACGTGTCAACACCGTAATGGGCTGCCATCCCAACCAATCAGCTGGCAGTATTTTTTTCCAGCTTGGAGATAAAGTGATTAGACCAACCGACATCTAAAGCACATACTCATCTAAAATCCTCTATCTGATCTTTTCTATTAGTTGCAGTTGACATTCAAAGTTTTACATAGCACTGTAAAGCACGCGAGTTTATGTAGCTTGAATTGAAAACAGTTAACGATTTTTTCAACTTCATCTTTGCTTTGTTAGGTGTGTGCAAAACTTTCGTACATCTCAACTCTAGCCTTATATGGATGTTCGCATGGAGCTCTCAATTTTGTTTGCTGATCTACTTGGCAGATGCTTGAGTACAATATTCAGTTATTGATTTGTGGTTCGGTCCTTATTTGTACAGTAACCTTTTTTTTTATCATGATTTGTGTTAACAACGCTTCAAATCGCCGCACCGGCCGCGCGGCGTGGCGCCGCACAATCCCTTATAGTAGCGACGACGAAACACATTAGGATGCAAACAAAATAGCTTGTTTGGTTGCCTGACCACAAGAGGAGTGGCAATAGTGATTATATGTGATTTCCAGCAAAAGGCCAAGTGAGAGAAAGATTGAAATATAATCATGTCAGCGATAGATGTACCACAAATAGCAGAAACTAGGAAGGTAGCCCGCGCGTATGCGCGGGCACTTATTTAATGTTGCTTAAATTTTTGTTACAAATGTTTACATGTAGATGATATTTTTAAAATAGATCTTGATTATATTTTAAACATGTTTTCGTTAATATCTAGTTTGGACATATTACTTGAAACCGTACAACCTTAAATTTATGAGAACATGTGTCACGATAATGGAATATTTGAGTTGTTTCATATCTATTTGTACTATATGTGATTTTTTAACCTAGATAAAGGGTTTTTTAAATACTACCACGATAATCTCCAGAGCACCATATTATTGGTTATATTTTGATAAATATCTATAATTTTGAGTTTGGTTTTTTTAACGCTTATTATTCATAATCACATGAGACATATTTACTAATTAATTTGGAGAATGAATCTATTTTCCCAAACTTATTTACAATAACTAATTTATTAAAGTATACTTTATAGTCATGCCAATAGGGTTACTTTATAGTCATGCCAATAGGGTATATGACATCCGTCCATCAAATTTGCCTGATGTGTTGGAATTCCTCATCTATAAAAAATATATCATGAGTAATTTATTATGCATGTTACTTGATTGTTCATTTGTTGTCAAAACTATTTGACAAAGAGAAAACATATATATGACCATAAATCTCATGATTGATTAAGTGGTTGTATTCTATCAAGATAATTGGCTTGAAATATTTTTCATATTTTTTTACATCTGTGTAACATTCATGTTGCCCACTTATCAGATACTAATGAAATAATTCTAAAGATTCAAAAAAAATTGAAAACCTTAATCTCAAACGAATTAAAATTAAATTAGATCTACTTAAAAATACACAACTAAATTGTGTTGTTTTCATTTATTTTACATATGTAGAATTAAATTAGCATTGTATAGTCTTCAAGTGATATTTGACACCTGAAATATGATAAGATTTTTTTTTAAAATAGGAAAAAGTACAAATTATCCACATAAGCCCGAAAACCGGACATCTTTCACCCTCAACTATTAATAGGACGAACTAGAAAATGAGCGTGCCCGTTGGCACGCTAGCTAGTTTATAGCATGTGTATATTTTCTTTTAGAAATAATAGGTTTAAAATGATTATTTAAAGTTTTTTTTTCAAATTTTATGTTTGTAAAAGTAAGTTAGAATAGTAAAATTATCCTAATTTGTGGTCTTATCATGCCGAACAGAATATTTACGTTAAGAAATTATTAAAGATCATATATATTAGTGAAAAATGTGTTTTTATTAATATTCAACACGATTGTTATAAACTTGCAAGTCATATAGTTTGTATAATTAGTCCGAAATACATATCTAAAATAAATGTGTCTTCGGTTACCTGTTTCTTTATACTGGTTTTATTTAGAGGATGGGGCATCGACATGGTAAAGATACTTATCTTGTTTTCATATATCCAGTTATTCTAATGCAGCTCAGCTGGTTAGGTTCCGTGCCTATACGGGTTCAGGTCAATAGACTTAGAACGAGTTCTTTGCATTTTACCACTATTTGTTGTTTCAATGATAGGCAACCTACCGATCTTTATCAATCCAAATATATGTCTGACGGCCTAGTCTTAAAAGGTGCTCGTGTGTATATCATCTAAATTGTGTTTCACAAACAAAAAATATAGCAAAATTATTGTCGTTACTTACCCATGTTCCAAAATAAATGGATTCCTTTGTGGTGGAACCAACCCACCCGGGTTCAAATCCTAGATTTGACACGGGTGTTCGTATTTATGGCTAATTATTCTTTCAGTGGTAGGCGACGTACCCGTCGACAGCGAAGCGCCTGTGGTGACTTCGTCAATCTCAAGATATGCCGGCCCAGTCTTCTGGAGGTGCTCATAAGGGTAGGGTATGCGTGTGTGCATTCATAGGGTGAGTGTGCGCACGTTGTGAGCGCCTACGTTTGTACTGTGTTTCTAAAAAAAAAATGGATTCCTAGCATCCAGAAAAAGTATAAGGTGAGGATTAAAAAAGAAAAAAAATGTTCTGAATTAATAGGAAAATAGTGCTGAACTTGTCGGTTAACAGAGAATACATCGGTTCATCTAATTTCACTTTTTATTCTTTCCATTCTATAGAATTTTAGGTATTTTCCTCGTTTGAAGTAAACATTCTAGATTGTATTTATCTGGAGGCTTTCGATTGTCCTAACACAATCCTTGCTGCTGCTATATTTTTTTCCATTTAATTTCACTATTTTTTCTAATTTTCTAGAAACACATGATGCTAACATGAAGTGACTTTCCCTCATTCGAGTAATTGTGGTTGATTGCATAATCCTATTATTTTTATTTTTTCTCATTTTCTTTTTATTACTATTATTTTGTTCTATACTGGCTCTGTACACTTCAGTCCTTCACGCTGTTTTTCTTCCCTTTTCTTTTGAACGAACGTACTTAGCGCCGCGTGAAGAGGCCATGCACCAGTATTGCGGACTGTGGTACATATTGCGGAAAAGGCCGTGGGGCGCCAGGGCCAGGGCCAGGCCCAGGGTCGCACAGCCTAGCTAGATGCAAAACCCACCCCGCATACGCACGCAGGCAAACGTTTACGTTTTTTTTTCCGATCTCTTTCGATGCGAATACTTCACCCATCACACGTGGCAGCTTTTCAGTGAGCTCTAACCAAATTTGTAGGGTGCCACGCGGCCCAATGAAAAACAAGAGCCTAGACCTAGAAATCGGTATTAGAGATTGGCCTCAGATAAGTATTCATGTAAGTCGCATGCAAAGGGGAAAATTATCTTGCATTGCAAATTTATGCAAAGAGCATGTTTGGTTGCCAGACCACAAGGCATTAATCTGGGAATGAGTGCATAAAAAAAAGGAACAAACAGCAAGGAAAATAAAAGAACAAGATTAGATAAATCTGTTCATAAGCATCACAAATAAGCAGCATTAACCATCACTCGCCACCTTTTCTAGCCAAATAGCAAGAAAAATTAGATCAAGTATTGACAAATCTGTTCATAAGCATCACAAATCAGTAACAATATTCATCATTGACCACATTTCCGAGCCTAATAGCAAGGAAAAAAAAAGAAAAAAACTGTAGAAAATCCTGTTCATATGCATCAGAAATCAGCAACATTAATCCTCATTGGCCACCTTTCCAGACAGCAGGATTCTGTTCATATGCCATCAGAAATCAGCATCATTAATCCAAATTTGCCATCATGCATCACAAATCAGCGAGCATCATGCAACAATCAAGTATTGTTGTTCACTACAAAAGACATGTGGTGCCACTACCACCTTAACAAGCAGCTAACCAATATCCTACAAAAAACATACGGTGTCCACTACCACCTTAACCAGCAAATATCATACAAAAGCCACATCGTGTCCACTACCAACTTAACCAATAGTTAACCAATATTACATAAACAGATGAAAAAAAAAAGTGAAACTAAGCCTCTTCTGTGGTGATCAGTCCAATAGCTTGGGCAATGTTTATCTTCTTTTTGATGTAGTCATCATAGAACCGCGGTTTATCCCTCTACAAATAAAATGAATCTCAATCAGTAAAAAGCTAAACAGTTTTTAAAAAGCAAGCATGCATGCATAGACAACTTCATATAGTACACTACCAGCTTCTTAACTGCGTCTGCAATTAGCCCCAGAACTTGATCCTCTGCAACCTGACAGGTAAGTGGGATGTTAGACAAAACAACATCTACCAGTATAAATATATAATGGATTGCACTTGCATGTCAGATATATAACACAATACTTACTTCCTCTGTAATGCAAGCCGTACAAGTATGAAACTGGAAAGGGAAAAAAGAAGGTGAGATGAATGACAAGATAATGAGAATACCACATTATAATTTTGCAGATCATCAGTGAACAACACAACTAAATTACCTCCGCTTCCCATTGAGAGCAGTCATTGATCTCCAGTACATATTTCATTTTTTGTTGTCGTACTGGAAACCTGTTCAGTTCATAGACTTCCTTCATTGCATCTCTGAAACTCATCTGGACATATATAGTTAAAGAGAAAACACGGGCATTACTAAGCAAATACAACATTTATAAACATACAAAATAAACTATTATATATTTACATTATATAAATTTTAGTTGTGCAGCTGGGGTATAGTGTTAATATTGTGCTGACCTTTTGCTTGGTAACCCGCTGCCAAATCTCAAAATATACATCATCTAGCTCCTTAAAAAAACAAACATCATAGTTCATGCTAGATACAAATTCCTGAATTGTATAAATAATTCAACTATTAGATATATACAAGACCACTAAAATCAAATTAACTAGTGTGCAACTTAAGTATCATACATGGAAGCCAAGATAAGCTAACCTGGCAGTAATCTTGGGGAATCCAGTAGCTATCTTAACTGCTTGGTAAAGTCCTCTGTTGCTTACTCTTCCCCACTACATATAGAATTATTATGGTGATACAATACATGAAGATGCAAAATTATTCTATACAATAATACTTGCCTTAAGAGATGGCCGCTCAAGTAACACATAATCTTCCATCCACTGTTTCATAATACAAGGAAGCTATTAGTCAGTAGTCAATGCTTTAAAAGCGTTACAAAATTTTAACACTTGATTAACTTGATATAAATATGATGCAACAAGCATATATACCTTAAGTTTCTTTGATAATTCACCATAATATTTCACATACTGTTTTTCAACATCATATGTATTAAAATACATATGATATTTATCCCAATTGGCATACATGCAACCCTAAAAAAAGAAAAGGGGAAAATCACATGGTTGAGAAAATAATATTTACAAAGATATATATAACAGTACTCATGCATCAAGAACATATATATGATCACATACATCATTTTTAATGACTAGACGTTGATAGTCAACAAGTGCAGCAAGCTTGCAATACTCAGGGTGGAAGTACCAAACAAATATGTAATCAAAGCACTTAAGAACCTCCCAGAGGACCTCATCATCAACAGAATCAAGTGTGCCATCATTTTCAAAGCATATAAGGACCTCCTCCAGCTGCTTAGACATGTCAAAAGGGTATTGATTTATCATTTCATCATGGTCCAGCTTACTCCTAGTTCCAGACACTTGCTGTAACGACTGTAACAGGAGGTCAATCATATATATCAGTATTGTATCTTATCTCCTAACAACTGTAACAATAAGATCACTCATGAGATAATGTTAGATGCAAATGCAAACAGGAGGTCAATCATATATATCAGTATTGTATCTTATCTCCCTGAAATGTTTGAGGTTAAGCACATTTTAGAGAAAATAAAGGTTGCAGCATTTTTTAAATTTCATTGAGTAAATTGCAGTTTGGGTCATGTATTTTTACCCTTGTTGCAGCTTGGACAGGGTCTTAGTCATGATTTTCAATTTGGACTACACAACCTTGCCATTTGTTTCACTCTGATCTTATCCAACAGACTCTATCCTTATCCCTAGGGCCTTGACCCCTCGGCCCACTACCCATGACAGCACCACCCCCTCATCGTCTCCAAGTCAGGCAGCCCATCACCGTTGTCCCTCTCTTTGCTGCTATTATCATCTCTCCCAACCTGTTCTTGTTATGCTATCAACGAACAGGAGGAGGTAAAAGTACGACACTTCCCAAACTCCAGTCACCCTATCCAATCTGGAGGGAGGAGCAGATCATCACAGGTTCAGCAGCGCTACCGGTGCTCAAGCTGAGATGGAGTGCATGGTGGTAGAGCTGAAGTTGCTGCTGCTTGAGCTTGGGTGTGGGAGCAGTACGACAGCGCTTGGAATAGGCAATGTTTCTTGAGCTCGAGTATGTAGGTTGCTTTCACCAGGGAGCTCAATCCCAAACACAATTTTTTTTTGACGGGTCAGCCGAAAATGGACCAACCGAAATTGTATTAAGAGGAGAAGAAATTCAGTACTGTTAAAAAACGGCACTAGACTGTCAAAAAGGGGCAAACGCAACAAGCCGTCAAACGACAGTGTGCCATTGCCCCAAAAAAGGAAAAAAAACCAGGAGCTGCAAGGAAATAATCGCTCTGCTTGAACACTCCTGCTTCTCTCCAAACCAGGACCTCTTCTCTTACTGCTCTGTAGAGCTGTGCGGCGGTGCAGTTTTGTGCTAAAAAAATATCATATTGCTCTCTTTCCACACCAGCCAGCACACAAGCATGGAGAAGATGAAGACTTCAGTATGCTAATGACCAAATTAAACTAATCGTATCACCTCACTTGGCATGCTAATTTTAGCTATCAATACAAGAGAGGGCATGGTAGTGCTCAAGCTCACGTATAGTGGCTTCAGCTCAACGAAGAAGAGAAGAGAGCGGAGATTGAGGAAAAACCGGTCCAATCTGAAACTTGTATAAAATTGTCTAGTCCAAAGTGAAAATATTACTTTGCCCCTAGTCCAATGTGTAACTCTGGTAATAAGAGGTAGCCCAATGTGCAATTCACTCAATTTCATTTGTAGGATGTGTCACCGAGGAAGCACGGATACTCAATCCACTCTATAAGCTAGTGATCATTGATTGATATATGGATAGAGTGTGAATGAATGAAACTAACCTTGTAATACTTCACACGATACAGTTCATGGAGTTCATTTTGAGCATCGAGCTGATTGAAATCCAATTGAGTAGAAGTATCAACAGGAGAGTCTTGTTCTTGAGGCAGCTGGCGCAAGTAACCACGGAACTTGTCAGTGCTAATATCTTCTCCCAAACCCAATTCATTCAGCTCCTGAGTGAGAAGGTTGGCTTCCTCCACATTTTTCTCCATGGTAGCATCATTGCATTCGGTTGCGATTGCAACTGGAACGCTGTAATCTTGTTCGGTATCATCATCCTGGTCTGCAGGACTGTTGAGGGCCTTAGAAAAACGGAAGCTTTTTTTCCTCCTAGGTGGAACCCATGTCTTCTTCTTCTTGGCCTGCTTGTTGTGTGGCGCCGCCTTCTCTTGGGAAGGACCAGAGAGGCCAGAAAGCCCCGGGACACACGAATCCATTACATCATCATCATCGTCATCAAGTTCACCTAGCACCGCGAAACGACGACCTTTTGGAGTGGTCGAGTCAATACCAGCGGATACGTCGACGATGTCGTTGATGGTTGACACGGCCAAACGGCGCAGATTTGGAGTCGTCTTCTTCTCTGAGGCGCCGATGGCCGGCATGTTCTTCCCGCTCGGGGGCGGCGGCCCGCGGCTGGACCCGCGGTGCTTGGGCGGCATCTCTCCAAACCCAAACTAGATCGATCTGGAACCCAGGGAGCGGGAGCGGGAGCGGGAGAGGCGGCGGCGGCGGAGGAGGAGGGGAGGGGAGGTGGGGCGAAGAAGACGATTGGTTTGGGAGCTCAAATCGCCAAGGGTGCCCAGGTCGGGATCGGGTCGGGTTGGGTTCGTTTGGGAATAAGCGAGATTTTTTTTAGATCCCTTAACCCCAAAACCAGAAATACGTGCCCCTCAACTCTTACAAACCGTTCACGGGAGGTTCCTCGGCAGTATTTTTGCCCGGTTTTGCTGACGTGGCATCCTAGTCAGCAAAAATAATTTTAAAAAATACGTGGGGTCCACATGTCAGCTGCACACTCTTTTCTTCTTCTCCTCTTTTCTCTTCTCTCTTCTCTTCTTCAGTGACTTCAGTGAGGGAGACCGGCGGCGGGCGGAGCCCGCTCGAGGCCGAGCAGCAGCCGCCGCTGCCGCCGCCCTCCGTGTCCGGGCCTGGCGGGGAGGGGACGGGGAGAGCCACAACACCGCCGCCGTCGCGTCGTGTCCGGACCTGGCGGGGAGGGGACGGGGAGCCACGACAACAAATCGGGTGAAGCTAAATGACCAATGGTCTACCATTCGAGCGATTAACTGACGGCAATTACAGCGAAGCGCTCGATCGGATCGGAGTCCGGTCAGTACCCGCCGGCGCCGCTGCTCCATCCGCCGCGGCCGGCGGCGCCCATCTGTTTGCTGCCGATCGCCACCGAAGGCAGCTGGTTGGCGTTGGTCAAATACTGCCGGACGGGGTCATCCGTCGGCGGCCCGGCGAGCGCCACCGGCGGCGGCAGCGGCCGTGATGACGTACTGCTGCATGACCAGCACGGACGCCATCTTGGAGAACTCGGAGGAGACGAGGAGGTCGCCGATGGGGCCGAGCTCCGGCGACTCCATCCACTCGGCGAGCCCCGACGTCAGCGGCGAGCTCGCCTCGCCGGGGTGGCGGCCGACGGTGTACAGCTCGTGCGCGTTGTCGAGCTGGCTGCGGATGGCGGCGAGCGTCTCCTCGCTGTTGGCCACCACCTGCTCGACGTAGAGGATGGCATCGCTGCCGAGGTTGCGCGACCGGAACTCGTTGAGGTACTCCTCGTCCATCTGCCGCTCGCTCTTGGCGACCTCGGGGACGACGTTGATGGCGCGGGAGTGGGCGGCGGGCATCGGCGGCTGCGGCGGCGAGACCGCCGGCGCCGTGTACCCCGGCGGGATGAAGCGGACGATGGTGAGGCACACGCCCGGGTTCTCGACCATCCGCCACGCGTACGCGAGCCCCTCCCGGTCGTCGGGCCCGCCGAAGAAGAGGAGCGCGACGTAGTGCACGGCGGCCATCCTCGCCGCGGCGGCGCTGAGGCCGCGGTCGACGAGGATGCCGACGGAGCATGGCGCCGACGCGAGGATGCTCTCGTTGAAGCCCCGGAGCGACGCATTGATGGGCTCCATGCCGCCGTCCACCGTCTGCTGCTTGTGGAACGGGAGCACGATGAGCGAGACGTGCTTGTCCTCCGCCAGGACGCACACGTCCTCGTGCATCGTCTGGTAAGGCGACACCGCCGTCAGCGCCGCTCGCCCGGTCCCAAGCCCCTCTGCTCCTCCGAGCCGCTCGCCCGCCGCTCCGCCGCCTCGCTCCGCCGCTGCCGCTCCCCTCTGCGGCAAATATAAAGACGAAAGAGGAGGAGAGAAAAAGGGATGCTGAGTAGGATCTGACCTCATATTTTTGTCACTTACATGTGGGTCCCACGTACTTTTTTTAATTTTTTTTGCTGACTAGTATGCCACGTCAGCAAAACCGGGCAAAAATACTGCCGAGGGACCTCCCGTGAACGGTTTGTGAGAGTTGAGGGGCACACATTTCTGGTTTTGGGGTTTAGGGACCTCAAAAAATCTCGCTATCAAATTAAGGGACCTCTGGTGAACTTATTCCGTTCGTTTGCTCTCTCTCCCATATAGCTGGCCAAATGGGCCGTGCTCTGTCGGGCCCGCCCAAGCACGATGCTACAGTAACCGACACGGCACAGCACGGGCCCGTGAGCTTATGGGCCGTGCTCGGGCGTGCCGTGCCTGGGCCGACGCCTAAGCCCGTGGGCCAGCACGGCCCGACGCGTGGCCCGGCACAGCACGAGAGGCCGAAGCCATCGGGCCGCATGCCGCAGCCTGTAGCGCCGTCCCCAGCCACCAACCGCAGCGCAGCCCGAGATTAGTTAAAACTCGCTCCTTTTTTACAGCATGCAAGCGTGCATGGTTAGTTTGTGTGGCATGCACAGGAACCGAATAGGCAGTGCATGCGTGCATCCACCCCAACTAACATGCATCATAATTGCTTCTTGAATTAATTCTCCCTTAGTATTGCTGCATAAATGACCTCGGCGACGTCAAAAACATGCATGCACTGATGCACCCAACCAACATGCATTCCTTTTCTTTTCGCATATTTTTTTGGTCAAAATCTCCCGTTCTTATGCACGCTTGCGTCGCCGCCGTGCGCCCGTGCCGCATCGGGCGAGCCGCGGCTCCAATCTTTCGCCTCCACGCGTCGCGCGCCAGGCGGGCGGTAGACGACGGCGCGACTTTCGACCTCCCGCGTGCCTTCGGGCCGGCGCCGGCCCACGTGCCACTAATGGGCCCGTGCCGGCACGGCACGGCACGACGTCCCCTTGGGCCGTGCTTGGGCCGGAGGGACGGCACGTGGGCTGGCACGGCACGGCCCGCTATGGAACCGTGCCTAATGGGCCGTGCTTTTGGTGGGCCCGTACCGCGCTGGGCCGGGCCGCCCATTCGGCCTACTATACTTGGGACCTTCTAGTGCTGTACGGTATTCCAGTTGTAATTAAAAAAAAAGTATATCCGAGGTCTTTATCTTGTCACCAAATTATACAAAATCATCTCTCAACGAAAAAAATCAGACATATCGGACTCTTCAATTTACAGAACTGGTTTTTTGGTTGAGGAATGATTTTGTATTTTGGTGACAAGAGGGGTCTCATATGTCCTTTTTGCTATTCCAGTTCTAGCATCCCCTATATGAGTACTATACAGCCCATGCATTGCTTTTATTTTCTTTCTTTTTTTATATAATACAAGAAAAAAAATATCCGCACAGAGGAGAAAAAGGTTGATGAGAGAGTGTGTGATCAATAAAAGCCGAGTGAGGTAACAACGTGGAATGTGAGACGTCAATAAAAGTTGAGCGAGGCAGCAAGCAGACTTGATGCGTGAGTTGAACAATATACCAAGAAAAAGAAAAAAGAAAAGAAAACGAATGACATGCAGACGACCAAGGTAAAAAGCATGCAAGTGATTATTGAAAAAAATATATGAATTTTCGAAGTACATAATACCTCCGAGTTATGTAATAACCATTTACTTCGTTATAAATTGATTTATAATAGTGTCATATATTAAAAAGGGGAAAAGTATAATTAAAACTAGGGAGAGTATATTTCTATATATAAGAATATATAGAGATATGGAAGAGATAGATATATACAGATATATATTCTTATAAGAATATATAAGAATATCTCAAGTTGGAAGATGAAACTATCGCTAAACATTACCATATATCAAATATTTATTTTGCTATATTTTTGTATCATTTTCCTCTTACTCTACGTATAGCACCATGGTCCATGTTTTTTTTTCCAACTTATTAATATGTGCCTTTTCTCATATCACATTAGATTTTATTTTACTTTTTCCCTCTTTGACGTCCTGGCCTTGAATTTTTTTATTTTAGATTTTTTTAATAAATAATTTTAATAATATACCTCCTAGGAACTTATTTTAAAAAATAAATCTTTTTGCCACGCCACTTAAGCTGGTGCGGCCAAACTAAGCAGCCACACCACCGCTCTTGGCGTTGGCAAGGTCAAACAGGCACTGACGTGGTGGGGGTGAGGTTGGTGGGGGTGAGGTTGGGCTTGCCATGCCATCCCATCTAGCATAGTTGGGGGAAATATACCCTAGCCGTCGCCGCCGCCGCTTTCTTTCTCCTTCCTCTATCGTGTTCTTGCGCTCTCTCTCTCTCTCTCTGCGCGAAGTAACCGACGCCCCCTCCTCAAATCCATTCAAAATCCAGTGTTCTTGCTTCGATGTGAAGCCCTTTTGAGTGGGAACCCAACCCGTAAGGTATATATCTTTTTTTGGTTTCTTTTCTCTTGTTTTTGCATGTATTTGTAATGTCTAGGATTGTATGTAATGTTGTTGGAATATGTGGTAATGAGGTTCATGGGATGGATCGGAATAGATCGGGGTGTATTATGGAGTAGTTCTCATTTCTGTTAGTGATATTTAAGTGGAAAATACCTTTTTAGTTCGAATGATATGGTTAAAAGTGGGGTTAGACATGGGAGAGCACGGACACATTTTTTTTAGGTTTTTGTGATCATGTAGGGATGATAAGGTCATGCATCCAGTGATTTTTTTGGTGTATAAGTTGTCGGCTTCTGCCTTCGTATCGTTCTATAATGAGTATTTGATTTGCATGTGAATATTGTGCATGTAGATGGATCGTGTGGTCCGTGTATATTCTGGTGGAACCGTTAGTGCAAATGGAAAATTTGATGAGATGAAAGTAGGTGTTTTAGTGTTTGCGAGCAGTCCTACGTGGGCACAATTATGTGATCGGGTTCGTTCTAAAATGGAACATGTCGTACCTACGAACGTGATGAGAATGGAAGGGCAGTATGTTGCAAGGTTTGGATCAGGGGAACATTTTGTGATGATGCCAATGTCATGTGAGTTGGAGTGATCGACGTATGTTACATATGTTTCAAGTTCACAAGTTCGTTCTATGGATGTGGTGGTTACAACTTGTGCAAATCGAAGTACAGTAGATCTAGTATCCTTAGATTGTGGTCATTCCTTGGAAACAGAGCATGAACTGATAGTGGAGCATGAGGGCAAGTTTTATAGTAGGGGTAGTTGTCACATCTAATTTTATCCATGTAAGATAAGAGGTGATATATACAATACACCACATCTACACCACCTCTATCATTTTAACCCAAATTATTTTTTTATTTGTTTGTCCAATCCCCTCTTTCTTTCATCTCATTTTTCTTTGGGTTTGTGTGGAGGTTGCCCTTGCATGAGGGGTGGCTCACCTTCTCTTTCCTCAATTATTACTTCCAC